GGTGTGTGTGTGTGTGTGTGTGTGTGTGTGTGTGTGTGTGTGTGCTGGGAGGCAGGAGGACTCAGAACGACTGGAGCTGAGGCAGAACTAGAGAGAGCTGACCCTTGCGTCTGCTTTGGAGAGCAGGGAACTCATTGTCCCCATGACAGGTGTGGGTTACATGAGCAACACTAGAGCAGCTGTGACACCAGCAGGGGGACACTTGCTTACCAAAAAATTAAAAGAAAAGATGGGACTTTGACATTCATTTGCAATGGAGGGGATTAGACATCAAGAACGTGGGGACAGCTGGGTTGGCTCTGACCCTGGGAGCAAATTCCCCCTTGCTAAGCTGCTCCAACATTGGCCACTTGGCCTGAAGAATCCAGGGCAAGGGATTCAGCCTTGTCCTGGGATAGCTGCCTGAGAAGCCTTTAGGGAAGTGGGGAAAGGAACAGATATGGAGGGAAAGAGAGTCAGTCCATCCCTCCCTTGATCCTGACTCTGGCCAGGGCCACTCAGTCCGACCCAGCACCGGCTGTTTGCTGTGAAACAGGGTCACAGGTCTCTAGTTCAGGTTGCTGTGTCAGTAGTGTCCAGGCTGATGGAGTCAGGTGTCCTCAGAGGCTGTTTTCATGTGGGGTCCTCAGATGTGAGTGTGCTTCAGAATCACAGGGAGCTTGTTCAGATGCCCACCAAAGTCTGAGAAGAACAGCTGATCCTGTCTTTGGGCCTCCTTTCATGGATGAGGAAACTGAGGCCCGGGGGTGGTGGTTGTGTCTGGATGAAGGGCACTGATGAAAGTCATAGTGGGTTCAAGAGTTTCAACTTAGTACCATTCTCCTTCAGTTCAATACGTTGGTCCAGCAGTGTGGCTACAGCTGCTTGTTCAGGAGGCAGAGGGGATTTCTGAGCAAGTCCCTTGGGATATCTGGGAACATATGCAGGGAGATCCTCCCTACATCCGTTCTGCATCCTGCAGCAGAGCACCCACCAGGTTGATGACCTGCGAAGCTGGCTGGACTGTGTCATACTCCGCAAAGAGGTGGCACACATTCTCCTGTGAGTTGGTCTGGCTCTTGGCCACAAACCCAAAGATCCTGGTGGGAGAAGGCAGCCTAAGTGAGGAGGGGGGGGACCCAGGGAGGCACCAGGCCGGGAGGGGGGAACTCATCCCACAGTGTTCCTCCCTGCTCCTTCCCTAGCCAAGTGGCCCAGGTACCTCATTACGGTGGGAGCTATCTGGGAGGGGGTGTATGTGTCTCCCCTGTCAGGCTGGGAGACCCTTGAGTTCAAGATCTGGGTTTTTCTCATTTTGAAATTGAGCTCCCTGGGGACAGGACCTGAGTATTCCCCATCAGAGTGGAGAGGGCAAGGATATGTCTTGGTCATCAGATGGGAACCTTCCTACAGATTAAGGCTCCCTGAGGTTAGAGCCTGTGCCTCCTCTATCAGACTGGAGGTTCCTGAGGGCCAGGGCCTGTGCTGCCCCCATCAAAACCATGGGCTCCTGCCTGGCCGGTGTGGCTCAGTGGTTGAGCATCGACCTATGATCCAGGAGATTGTGGTTCGATTCTCAGTCAGGGCTCAGTCCCCAGCAGGGGGCATGCAAGAGGCAGACAACCAATGATTCTCTCATCATTGATGCTTCTATCTCTCTCTCCCTCTCGTTTCCTCTCTCTGAAATAAATGAAGATATATTAGAAAAAAATTTTTAAAAATTAAAAACCCCACAAAAACTATGGGCTCCCTCTTTCTCTAATTCCCTCCCCATGTTGGGTTGGGGGCTCTGCCTCGGGGAGATCTGTTATGGGGACTGACTGAGCAGACAGACAGGAAGGCCTTACCAGGAGGGCTTGCAGTACTTCTGCCACCTGTGGGAAGGAACACGGTAGTAGTGAGTACTGAGGCTTTGCTTCATGCCACGGACTCCAGCTGAGCAGGGAGAAGGGTCAGCTGTGTCCCCATCCCCACCATACCCCACCTTCCCCTCCTTCTGTTGCTCTTGGCCCCTGAGGTTCACAGGATCTTTCTGGGATCTCAATCCCAGAGCCAGAAGGAAACTTCAGGGGGCAGCCAGGCCCTGAATGGCCTTCTTCAGTTGGCCCAACCTTGAACTTACTTCCGTTGCTCGGGGTCCATGCCACAGAAACGGAGGGTGGTGAGGGGATAATGGCGCCGGAAAAATACCCTGGGAAGAGGCAGGAGAGAAGGGGAACTGGTAAGAGCCTATCCCAGGGTCATGTCTGCCTCCATCATCTCTAGCTCACTGTCCTCCAAGAAGCCTCCCAGTTGGACCCCTTATAGCCTGCGGTCACCTTTCCCACCGCTGGGCCCTGGGACACATGTCTGTACTTCTCTCCTTTTGTGGAGTGCTTCTGCCATGTGTCTGCCCTACATATTGGGGTTCTCTAGCCCCTTCCTGCTCCCTGCCCACCATGTTATTTAACTCTTTGAGGATAGAAATTACATCTTGATGGTCATCTTTGTTTCCCCAGCCCAGGACCAGGTCCTGCTAGGCTGTAAATCTCTAAGCCCAGGGAAGGAGGGACCACACCCCACTGAGTCTCAGTGGTCAGAGTCTGGCTGGTGGATGTTCTATCAGTGGATGCAGACTTAGTCAATGACCAACGAATGCTGGCTGGCTCCATCTCCATCAGTCACAGCGAAAGGGGACTTTGGTGACAGGGGGTCATTGGAGTGAGGTTCAATGAAGGCAGATAACTTGCCCAGAGTCACTCAGCATGTCACTGACCCCACTGGGTCCAGGACACTGAATTCTGCCTTCATCATTGATCTAAAACCACCTTGGCCATTCCCTCCAGCTCATCCTGCCCAGCCCTGCAGCCCCAGGGTAAGGGAAGTCCCTTACTTCCTCTGGACGTCAGTTAGGGTGATGCCCTGCTCGGTGACTTTAAAGTGGACCACGGTGGGTGTGGGGAGGATGTCCCTCTCCAAGATAGTTGAGATGGCCTTCTGCACAGCCAGGACTCCGGTCAGGGTCTCCACACTCACAGAACTCAGGTACAGGACGTGGCAGCCTGTGGGATGCAGATACTGCATTGGGGCCCTGTCAGGATCCATGGGATGGGTAGAGGTCACCCAGGCCCTGGTCCTTCCTCTGCCCAGAGCCAGGGGACAGGGTGGCCTTTTTTTTTCAGAAATCCAGTAGGGCTCCTCTTTGAGCCACCAGGCAAACAGACAGAGACTTTGTGGGTGACTTTAATTTGAGGCCAACCCCAGAGGACTTTGGGATCATCTGTTGCTTTGCATTGCCCTAGCCCCTGGCCCTCCAGGTGGGGGCAGTGGAGGGGGAAGGGAGGGGAACGTTGTCCTGTGTGTTGGGGCATCCAGGCAAACCTTCCTTCTGTCCAGACCCATGTCTGGTGCTGCCTCCGCCCCCACCTGCCCTTGGAACCCTGGTTTATTGTTGAGAGAAGGGAGAGAAGACAGGAATGGGGAGGGGACCATTGTGCTCAGGGGCACATAATAGGAGTTGTCACTCAGACAAGTGCTGACCTGTGAATGGCCTCTGGATGTGAGGAGGAGGGACCTTTCCCCTGTGGAAACCCCCAGGACCTCACAGAGGATTGCAGACCCAGAGGCCACCTCCAGAACAGATACTGTAGATCCAAAGAGACCCCAGAATGTCCACATGCGCCTATGTGTGTGGAGGATGGGGTGTGAGCCTGCCAACCCCCTTCCTCGGCTGCCCCTCTTTCCCTTGGTCCACTCCCTGCAGCCTCTCATCTCCTGGTTTACAGGGAGGGGGAGGAATGTGGCACCTTGTTAAAGGTGAAGAAATAAAGCTGTGATGGGAAACACGTGTGGACATGCGTGTGTGCGTGCGTGCAGGGCTGGGAAGTGCCCTCGGGGGGTACAGCCAAGTCTGGAGCCTCCCACGCACCACTCACCCGCAGATTTCTTCTGGCAGGAGGCCCGGCTGTCTGTAGAGGGGTCTGAGGCTCCGTCTCCGCCTCCCAGTTCTGAGCCAAAGTAAAGAAACAGGCCCGGAGGGGCGGAGGGTGGAGTGAATGGACCCCTCTCATAAGAACAGGCCTCATTAATCCCTTTGAACATCTCCACCTCCGCCCATGCCTTCAGGAAGTGACTGGGCTGAGAAACCAGGTGTGATTACCGTAATCAGGGAAACCGAGCCACTTTGAGCTCCCCAACGCCCAGCTTGCAAGCCTTTGATCCCTCTTTCCCCCTCTCACTCCTCCAGCCCCTGGACAGCTGCAGTGACCTGGTCCTCAGAGGCCCCTGACTCCCTCACTTCTTCCCATCCACACTAACCCCAGGCCTTTCTTTGCTGAAAGTAGGGAGAGTGTTGCCATCATTCCACCAGAGGCTCCCCTGTCCTTGCTTCCTCTCCCAGAAGGCCCCTCACTGCTCCCCCTGCACACCCCAGATGACTGGCTCCATCAGGGGTGGGGCTGGGCTGTAAACTCTGGAGGGCACTTCCTGATCTGGGCTTGAGGCCTGCCTCTGTGTGCCTTTGGGTGAGTAACCTAATGCCTCCAACCCTACTTTTCTTATCTATTAAATGGGGTAAAGGCAACATCACTTCACAGGGTTGTAGTGAGGTATAAATGAATGAGGGAGTGCCCAATAAATGTTAGACCAGGAAGAAATAAACCAAACCTCCCCAAATCAGCTAATTTATGCTCCCCCTCTCAAAGAAGGTTACTATTTATCAAACATCCACTCTGTGGCAGGCATTGCACTAAGAGCCTTGCCTGAGTTGTCTCATTTTATCCCCACACCAGTTCGATAGGTAGGTATGATAACGGTTGTCCCCATTTCACAGATGATGAAACTGAGGCTCAGAGGGATAAACATTCTCAAATTCTCATAGCTAGGAAGCGGAGATGTTGACGGACCATAGGGCATGCACCTTTAACCATGACACTAAAATAATCCATAAATAAGGTGAGCCTAAGAGCCTTTCCAGTGAGAACAAATAGACCCGGTACCCAGATGTTGCCTCCTTGGGGCCCAGACCCACCTTTCTGCGGGATGGTGAGTTTGCAGGGCAGGGCCAGGGCCATGATGGAATGCTGGCACACAAAGGCAGAGAGGCTCCCTGCAAGGAAACAGGCGGCCCTGCGTGAGAAGGCCTTCTCCGGACCGCCATCCCCGCCCAGGATGGCTGGGCTCACCCAGGGCCTGTGGGCTCACCAAAGTAGGGCTCCTCATCTGCTCCTTTGAGATGCACCCCTTTGGCGGAAGACTCAATGAGGAAGTGGCGGATGAAGTCACTGCTGTCCTCTCCTGGACAAAGAAAGAAGAAAGCATGTAGGTGGATGGGAGTTCCAGAGCCCCGTGTTAGCCACTCCTGACCCGCCTCCTCAGGGTCCATCCAGAGGTCAGTTATCCATCCTTTTGCCTCTGGGATGCTGGTAGGAATCCTATCTCTGAGGCCTCCCACAAAGGAGGTGCCAACAGTCCCTTCAGCAGACCGTTCTGTTGGTCTTAAGATGCCTTGGGGATGCTTTCCTATGACAGTTTAGATCAAATCTCAACACTTTAGCCTGGTTGCTCTCTCCCCCTCCCCACCTCCTCCCACGCACTATTACTGTCCTCCAGGTGGTCCCTGCGGGAGTCAAGCTGGCCCTGGAGGGTGAACAATGCTCTCTGCTCTTTCTCCACCAGCCCACAGCTTCCCCCTCTCTTTGGGCCCATTGGCAAGGCTTCTCTGATAACCAATGCACCCCAGGGGGCACCTTCTTATTTAGATCTAGAGGCACAGGGTAGAGACATCCCATTGGATTTTCACCCTTGGGTTTTCACTCTATCACTTACTTGCTCTGGGGGTCATCTGCTAACTCTCAGTGCCTTGGTTACCTCATCTGTTTGTTGTACGAGAGCCACAATCATGGGTTTAGGGAGGGGCTGTGACCCAGGTACCTCATACTGTAGTGACCTGTTTTTAATCTCTTTCCCCAGTGAGGTCTCCTGGTGCCTCCACAGTGCCTGGGGCAGGGTGGATGCCCCATCGATGTGTGCTGCGTGTGCAAAACCATGGGAAAGCGTGTGATAAGCTGTCACACCCATGTTTTTACAGTAGGTCCCCTCGAGATAAATCCGGTCTGGAGGGAGGTGGGCACCCATAAGAGAGCAGCCTGGAGAGGGGCTGGACTTGCCTCCCCCTCTTGCCACCATGAGATTAAGCGGGGAATCTGGGGACTCGGGGAGGTGGAGGCAGCTCAGACTTGCTGTGAAAGGAGCTTCTCACAGAGCCTCGATGCTGGAGGGCAGCTGGGATGATGCTGAGGTGGACCCTCCTCCAGGAGTCATTGTGGGCCTGGCCCACGGTCACCCTGCAAGCTAGCAGAGCTGGGACTAGAACCCACCACACCCCATTGCCTCAGAAAGGCCTTGAGTGAGGACAGAGAGAGGGGCGCCTACCTGGTCGGTTCTCGGCCAACGCGGGGGCCTCCTGCACCCTCAAGGCAAGGCCGAAGGAGCCTCGGTATGAAGAGCTGTCCCTCACGACGAAAGCCCCCGGCTCCTCCTTCCTCAGCAGCTCAATTGCTGGAACGATCCTTGGGTCAGAGACTGTTACTGCCCCACCTGGACAGCCTCTGTCCCCATAGGGTCATCATAGAGCAGATGTTACAGAATCACCTTTTGTTCCCAGTAAGTCCTTTCTATTGTCTAACCTCCCCCATCGCTGCTGCAGGCCCTATTTCCTCAGGTCATGAGGTCTGCAGGACACCACCCTTCCCTGGACCTGCCACTTGCCATTCCCTCCTCTGCCATGACCCAGGGCTCCGACCACAGGACCCAGACCTGATTCCTGAGTCACTTGTCCCCTGAAACACTGTGTTTTCTTTTACCTTGTTCTCGGGTGATGCTTGGCTTAAACCAGTACTTAGAGGTGTCCATCACAAATTTCATGGTGGGCTGCATGTCCCTGGTGGGACCTGGAGACAACAGAGAAGGGGAACCCTGTAGGCTGGACAAAGAGGAGCTGAGAGACCCTCCCCCATCCCCTGCCCAGCGGTCCCATTCCACCCACCCTCTCCTATCCCAACCCCATTGCATCTCCAACTGCCTAAAGAGGCAAAATCCAACAGAAGAATTTTGGGGCTTGGTGCATTTATGATTTAGGAGTCTTCCCTTGTATCCTTGGAAAAATCAAAAACAGATAAAAACCTCAGTTTAATGAGAAACAGTTTCTCAAATCTAGTGTTGCCTTCTGGCGACCGAAGTAAGGGATAAATAAGGGATTCTGAGATGCATCATTTGTTTTATTTTACACTCTCCTCCCCCTTAATAATCCTACACGTTCTTTAGGGATATATTCAGGGGAAAGAAAATGAAAGAAGAGGTAAAAGAAAGGAAAACAGCAGATCTGGGCAGACAAACATATGCTCAGAGGTCAGGAGATGGGATTCCTGACTGACTTGGGACAACTGTTTTGCTCCTAAAGCCCAGAGGGGACTGAGGGAACCAAAAAACTTCTGACAGTATATTATGCTCCAATAGCTTGTGAAGTTACAATGAATTTTGCTGTGAGAATATTTTGCAGAATCTGATAAGATCCCAGGGTATAATTAGTGATATCCTCGGGCATCACCAAACCAGGATGGGACTATCACCACACTAAGTAAATGCACTCTTTGAGATGCCAAAATACCCGTTGTCAGGGTCCCTAAGGCAGAGAGCAATGGTTCTTAATTTCAGCATCTTGAAAAGGTGTGTTGTGGCTGGTTGAGAGTAACTCACAAAAACTGTATTAAAATCTGCAAATGATTTGTCCTAGGAAAAGGGTCAGAGCAGATTCAGGGGCACATGTGTCATGTCATTTCTTTTGCTGGCATTGACATGGCTTCGTGAGTGTGACAGAGCAGCCCATGAGTCAGCATTTCATCCCCCCTCCACCCCCGTGGATCTTGATAGTCATCCTATGGCTGAGGGAGGGCTGAGAAACAAGCCCTGGGAAGGAGATGGCAGAGCGAGGAGGGACAGTGTCCTTGGGGCTTGGCAGGGGGCTCTGCTTGTGGGAGAGGAGCACCTGGGGGTGCTAAGGCTTAGCCTTTGTTTGCTGCTTTGGGTTGTGGTTGGTTTGGCTCTTTTGGACGCCTGCAGTCACGGACTCCGGGAAGGAGGGTGTTCGCTGGTTTGTGGTTTTAGCTGTCTGAACTGAAATGCATTGTCTCTGTTGCCCTGTTCTCCCCCTCTGTCTGCGCGTCATACACCAACGTCAGAGTTACGACTGACTGACTCTCCCTCTCCCTCTCACCAGTTAGTCATCAAGTCTGCTGCTTCCATATCCTGAGGGTCTCCTGGCTCTGCCCCCTCTCCTCCACCCCCTGCCCTGCCCTGGTTCAGGCTCCGTTTAGGCTTGCCTGGACCACTTCATGATAAAAACTCACACAGAACCAAGTAGAAACTGCTCTCCCTGCCCAGCCAGGCCTTGTAGATCACCTGCCTCACAGCTGCCAGAGTGACCTATTGACGTGAGCCTCTGACCAAATCACTGTGCTGTTTGAGACACTCTGATATCAGGTCTCCTGTTGCCTAAGAATAAAATCTACTCTTTAGCTTGGTGTTCAAGGCCTTTTACAATCTGGCCCCAAATTACTCTCCATGACCTCAGCCTGACAATCCAGTCATTTCCTAAACATGCCATGTGCTCCACACCTTCATGACTGTGGACTCTGTTCCCTCTGCT